TCAATGTGTAGTTTCTATTTTGAAATACAGCTCTCAAGAAGACAAGTACTTCTTTTCTGAAGTTAAACCGAACTGACCTTGGTTAGAAATTTTGTCACTTGTCCAGATTCTAACTGCCCAGGACCTGACAAATGAGTCAGTGGGGGTCCATCCATTTTCTGCCGTTGTGTCTTTCGGTTGAAGATTCTTGGTCATCCCACCTGCCTGACACCTTGGATCATGATGAATTGTCTCAAATTCCAGCCCCAGATTGTTTTTTAACATTTAATTTAGTTTCTTCCTGTGCTTGGTTGAACATGGCTCCGTTATGGATTTCTACTCTAATGTACTCCAGCAGCTTCGGAGAGCAGGCCTTAGCAAGATGTGGAAGTTATAGAGGCCAGATCAATAGTCAAGGTCCTGACCCCTGCCTCTGATTTTGTTCTTTGCCCTGAGGGTTTCTCCCCTTGAAAGTCCTGGACTGCTTTTAATGTGAAGACAACTGCATTTTGACAACTTAGGCTGCTGTGGTGCATAACAGAGAGGTGTATCCATATCCACTTGCTTTCTCATTCAGTAGCTTTAATCCAGCTAGCATAATAGAAATGACCCTTCATGCATTTGATTAGCTGTAATGCGTCTCATGCTTCTAGACCTGATTGACCTTTTGAAGCAGAGTGATAAGACAGACAAGACAGGAAGAGACACTAATAGAGACCTTTAGCTCTCTGCTTTAGCGGCAATAGAGAAAAAGTAAGACTGTACAAGTTGAGGAATTAAATAAAAAGCCTGAAAGGAATTTTAAGAACCCTTTCACAGAACACCAAAATCAGGATTGCCATACATCCTATTTTAAAGGGACGATCAGCCGTAATGCATCCATCTATCAGAGCAGGTTGGAATGCATCACTCTCTGCTGGATGGAGAATGTTATGAAGAATGCATTGATTCATACACTCAGGAGAGATGTATGCACAATCCAGCAAGTATAGTTTTGTGGTAAACAGGGAGTGTATTCAGCCGTTAAAGGTTACAAACATTATATGCCATATCACTGTCTGATTTCATCTGTACAAACTGAGCTTGTCCCACTAAACCAAAAGAAGAAAAAAAATTAATTGTTTTAAAATAGCAATGTACATCAGCAACTGAAGTTAAAGCAAGGCTGAATGATACCTCAAACCTTTCAAATATTTATATTATTTTTCAGAAGTTCATGGATATGTCATTTACCTTTGTCTTCATATTAATTATTGTAAGTGGTTTTCCAAGGATGTGTTCACATTGCAACTGTATTGTCCAAGCAATATAATCACTGCAGTTATACTATAAATGCAGCCTGAAACCAGTGTCAGGACTCAACCTGACACCAGAGCAAAGGGGAGGGAGATAGCCTGGAGGATGAAGTTTCACTCTGATTCCCTTCAGAGTCACTTTGGGCCTTACGACATGATTTTAAACAACACAATTTCAGCTTTGCTATACAGCCTAAACTAGCTATCACTAAACCAGGGCCAACATTAGGACCACACAAGCAATCAATTGCAGCTCCCACCTCCCTCCATCAAGAAAATCCATTGGCAGAATATCTAAACAACATTAACAGCTGACTTCTGATCATTTATATCACCCGGTGCAAGCTAGACTTTTGATGAGTGGCCATTAGCAAGTTGGAAACCAGATTTAGGGTTAATGGCATTTAGTATCCTTGCCTTTTAAGTGCAGGAATCCCAAACCAGACCAATGCAAAGAAATACCAAATTTATAGAATAAATGCACTCTCGTGGGGTCCCTCAAAAAATTCACAAATGCAAATCTTTACCAAGAGAGACAGAACAAAACTGATGTGTTTATTAGTAGGAAAAAATGTGTATTTCCAATATTTGAATTTTAATCAAGAATTTCATTCAAATTAACTATGAATTAGGAACGTAGCTGATGTAGAATGGGTTGTTAGATTTTGCTTATTCTAAGCAGGAAAGAAGATCTGATACTATCCCTGAGTAAAGACTAAGTATTTAAAGAAGCAATTTGTTTTATCTGACAAGGGTACCTTACTGCAATTTTATGAAAATCACCAATTGCTTCAATGTAATTGCTTCTGATACTTAGTGATATTTAAAGCAATCTGTCATCCTTAGAGTTAAATCTTCCATCGATCAACATTGTGAGGAAGTTAGGTGTATCAGCAGGAAACATAGTTTTATTTTGGATGATTTTGAAATTGGTTTATAAAAAAGGGATAGTACCTTTTAAAGTGTGCTGTCTCCAATTTAAAGTCTAACCTTATCCACCAGTGCACTAATGCATACATTTTATTCTGTCAAAGTGAACCTTTTTCCCCACTGGTCAATATATCACAAGCTGTTCTTTTCTTAACAATCCAGACAGAGCAGACATTTGTGAAAGCTGCAGTCACTACAATCAAAAATGCTACATTTACTGAGTTTTTATCAAAGATTTCAATCCCCCTCATCCTCTGGAAAATGACCCTTTTATTTTGTTGTGGACATAAAATTATGGCCCTTGGAAAATTGGATGCGTTTCTGTTGAGGGAAATCAATTTTCTCACTGCCATTTATGATCAACATGTCACAGCTATCAAAGAGATAATAATAGTAAAGTACAAGTAAAATGGTTGGTAATACCAGCTCCTGAAAAGGGAGCAAGATAACCCCCTTCTTTTGAAACATGTTTGCAATATTAATAACAAAAAAGGCTATGCAAAAGGTTTTTGAACCATCTTCGGAGAAAAATCCTTTCCAACTCATCCACTGACAAAGTAAAATGTTGATGAAACTAGGCCATGAATCGGTGCTTCCTGGAAAATGCTTCAGCATTTGTAAAACCACCTGAAACCCCTTTCTCATCAACTTATTAATGGGTAGCTAATAGTAGACAAAATGTGACCAGTGTGTGATGGCTCAGGAGGCTGCTTAGGAAGAGGTAATAGGGAGAGCACAGTGGCTGCATCTTAATTTAGTCTTGCAAACAAAAGGAAGCATCAAATCTGACCTCACTGCCAGAGTGTTAATGGTTATCTGCCCATCACTGCATGCCACTTAGCACTGTTTATGCCCCACCTTTTGGTCTATTCAGCATAAGCATGCATTAGTAGGACATCAGCAACCAAAACATTAAAGCAGATTTGGACAAAAACAGTCTTCCACTCTGCCTTTGTGATACTTCTCCATCATTTGTTCAATCTAATTATAGCCTGAAAATGTCACCTTGTAACAAAGGTAATGTATGTTTTGTTACTTG